ATATCATATTTCAACTCTCCAATGGGCAGGAAGGTCTCTCTCTTTTATACCCAAACACTGCCCAAATGCCTCCTCTTATATCTTATTTGAGGCCATTTAAGCACCTCAAGAATCCATATTACATCTTATTAGCAAATGACTCTGGAAGCCAACTTAAAAGTTTTTAAAATTGCAATTATCCTAAGGACAGGGTAGGGTAGTAACTACACAACAAAAATAATATTAGCTACCAAGATGTTAAATATTTACATATATTATTTCATTTGGTCCCCACCCATTCAATAAAAGAGTATTGATATTTTCATTTTAAAGATGTGCAAACAGGTATAAGGAGGTTAAGTCATTCACCCAGATCTACCTCACATTAATGTCCACACTCTGAATCTCATACTGCCTATGCCAATGGACTATGAAGAAAATGGTAGAATGAGACTTTTCATTCACTCATTAAGGAACATGTATAATATTTACATACCAGGCTGTATCTGTCATCCTTACTAGAACTGAAAATAAGATTTCTCAAAGGAAAAACAGTTTATTTACCAAGGAAGCTGACCTCTATGAAGAGAAGATATCAAACAGTGCTTTTCTATTTCAGAATTAAAGATAAGAAAGAATAAATGGAAATGGTAATGCATTACCAAATTATCACCCAAAATAGAAGAAAGGGCACTAAAAGATGACCTTTCCTTTGAGTTGAAGAAAATCCCAAACTGCTGTGAAACACTCAAAAACTACAACTGGTGACTTGTGCATCATACAGATGCAATTGACCTGTGTAGCAGTTGATAAGTTCTAGTTATCACTCCCTATAGGTAATGATGGTAAGAAACACTATCCTTCACAAGCAATAAATCTCTCATTTTGGGGAAAGCTGCCTGCAGCACTAGTCTCCTTATTACAAATTTGTGACTGTGCCCTTGACAACAATATCTCTGCATCTGCGAGAACACCACTCACACCATCTGCTATTTGAGCAGCAGCAATTCTTAACACCAAGTATTGCTATTAAAATAAATAGCAAATCCCAATACTAGCAACCAAAACAACAAAACCAAAACAGTTGGTTTATGATTTCATCCACACACACAGCTAACTACCCACACATCCACCCAACAAAACTCTGCTCCCCTCATTTATTAATAACCATGTGACGGGCACTGTGCTAGATACTAACACTCTTCTTCACCTGCAGCAGGCTCTCCAAAGTCCAGAGGCCTGTAAGGAAGGGTCACACAATACCAAAGCACAGAGCTCATGCAATTATGAAATCAAGTCCCTATTAAGCAAATTACAAAGCACCAGTCATAAAACCATACGCATTCAGGGCAACAGTTCCTAATCCTGGCTGCATATTAATCACCTGGGGAGCTTTAAAATAATGCCAATGCCTGGGCCTCATCCCAAACCAATTAAAACAGAATCTCTGGAAGTGGGGCCCAGCATGGATCTATTTTTTAAAGGTTCTCATGTGATTCCAAAGTGCAGCCAGGATTGAAAACCAGCAAAGTTGAGTATTTCTAGAGTGGTATTTCTGAAATCCACAAGTCTATTAGTGCAAAGATCACAAAACTCTCCCTCTCATCCACTGCACCTGCCATCTGGGCTATCTTCAAATGATCCATCAATAAAGTGTTATTTTAAAATTATGGTCCCATTATTTATTTGTTTATAGCAATGAAAAACTAAACAAGAGAGTACCTGGAGGTCACTTGTCACCCCCCAGGGCCCCCAGGCCTATTCTGAGAACCAGAGCTATATATGGCTGCAGCAGCGAGGAAGTGGTTGAAAAGCCCTGGCTCTCGTGCAGTAGTTGAGTGCTTGGGAGAACACAATCGGCAATGTCCAGGCAAGCAGCAGCCTCAGCTCAGTAACCTGACAGGAGGGAGCCTTCCTAGTTCAGGCATGATTATCAAACTCTTTGTGCTCTTAAAGGAGAGTAATTATAGGCATGTGAAAAAAGGGAAGCGCTCCCTGAGGAACTCTTCCTCACATGCTTCCCAAGAGGCAGCAGGGCCATTAAAAATTCCATGATGAAGAGGAAAAACAGCCTGGGAACAGCCAGGAGGCAATACAGCAAATTAATACACCAGCCCTCCTCAGGGAAAGCTGTGATAAAACAGGAAACACTTCTCTCTTTGCAAAATAAAATTATACCACTAATGATAACATAGTCACCACACACACACACAAATCGTTCTAATGATGGGTGTGAAATTCCCAATGCTGCCCAGATGCTTTGAAAGAAATCTTTGCCTACTACAAATAAAATGGGACAAGAAAGAGATAAAATTTCCATTCGAAACAATTTTTAGTTCAGTCATTCACCTGCCTCTTCCCTACCTCCACTACTCCTTGACATTCCCTCCTTGGTGCCAGGCTTTTGCTAAACAGTCCACTCTTGGCAAAGCCTGCTGCAAAAAGAATCCAATCTCATCAGTTCACCACACTGGAGCTAGACGGCTCCTTCTCCACTGACCCCTTGCTGGACAGGGGCCCCCACGACTTCAAAGGAGGGAGAGGTAGCCCTGAGAGCTCAGTGTTTCATCCTTCCCATTTTCAAACACTGCGTAGAGGTCACTTGCACTGATCATTTCCCACAGAGCAGTGGTTGCCAAACTCTATTGACTGTGCATCCTCGTGAGTAAAAAAACTCGAGAAAACATTATATATTTATATAATAATACATATACATAAAATAGAAATATGTGCTACTAGACTAATATATGAATAATTTAAAACCAAAAGAAAATTTCAAGCATAAGATAATAAATAAATGTAAGTTTAAAATTTTTCTTCCCCTACTCACCCCAAAGAACCTTCATGCGTGCAACCCACTTAGTATCTACTGCCCTGGGAATGATGTCTAAACGTAAGGACAAAGATGACATACAATTGTCCACATTCTCTCTCCTTTGCTTTTAGCAATGATCTCAAGCAACCAAAAGAAAATTTCAAGCATAAGATAATAAATAAATGTAAGTTTAAAATTTTTCTTCCCCTACTCACCCCAAAGAACCTTCATGCGTGCAATCCACTTAGTATCTACTGCCCTAGGAATGATGTCTAAACGTAAGGACAAAGATGACATACAATTGTCCACATTCTCTCTCCTTTGCTTTTAGCAATGATCTCAAGCAACGAGCAATATTTCCCTAGAGCTGAGTGCACCAGAAACACAGTTGAGACTTCCTTATGTTTCCAAGTCCAGCCACAAACACTGTCAGGCAAGAGAGTGAAATAATGATGTGGATAATGAGATACACAAAGAAACAAGAAGCTGACATCCAGCCATAGGATGAAGCTTTTAAAGGAAACAGAAAACCTGACAAAAACATAGATACTGATCTCAGCATAGCACAGCTCTAGGTAGCAGAGGTAAAGGGAAAAGGGCAAAGTAATCCACTTTCAGCATCTGACATGATATGGTGATACTCATGCGTTCTTCCCAGAGGTATACACGGGTATCATTCTGTTTGGTATTAAGATAAAAAGCTGAGGACTGCTTTCCTATGGATTAAAATCTTGTGTCTTCCAAGATGGCTTGAGTACCACCACCTCTAAGAAAAGCTCCCTGAGCCCCTGAGTTAGGAGCCCCTCCTCTGTGCTTCATATCATTCACATGCAAACTTTTATTGTAATTGTCAATTTCCACACTCATGAGAATGTAAGCTCCTTGAGGGCAGTGCCTAAACAAAGAGCCTGGCACACAGTAGGGAGTCAGCAAATGACAATGAATGAATGAATGACAAACAGCATGCTACTGAAGAAAAGGCTTTACAGCAGTAGTTTGTATCATTCCACAATTTTCCACATTCTTAAGAACACCATCTGTGATGGTCTCTCTTTTCATAAGACTTTCCCACAGAAATACTTCTTTTCCAGTAGAAAGATCTGGCAGTAGGTTATGGTACTGAGTTTATTATTAATATCATAGTCCATAGCATACGTTCTAACTGTATCCATGAAGGAGTAATTTCTTTGTGCAGCCTATAACTCAAAATCTAGGAATGTATGCACTTAAAAACTTATGAGGAACAAAAAAATCCTCAGAACCTTGGAGAGAAATTCTTCGTGCCACCAGAAATAATAAAAGTTTTTTGGTCCAGCCTATTAGCTGCTCTTTTGTGATAACGTCCTTGCTAGGGGATATTACCATTAAAACTATATTTATTTCCCATGTCTCCTAACTTAAGAGAATTTATATTGAGAGGCGCAGTAGTCATTCATTTGACAAATATATACTGAATGCCTGGCAAGTGCCAAACACTGTGTTAGGTGATAGGGATTTATCAGGCAACAAGACAAGGTCCTTGCAGTTTGATGCTTACATTCTGGTAAAAGAGACCATGAAAAAAGTGGGGGGAAAAAAAAACCTAAAACCCACCTAAAATAAGCTAATGAGACTGTGACAAGAGCCATAGAGGAAATAGAAAATGAGCAGAAAGTGCTTGAGGTAGCCCCTGTAGATAGGATGGTCTGAGTGTTCCTCTCCAAGTTGAGACAAGCAGCAGCTCAAAGACAGTTTTCCAGGCAAAAGGAACGAGTGCACAGGTTCCGAGGCAGGAAAGGATTGCCATTTTTGGAGAACAAAAGGGAGCTCCGTGGTACAGCTGCATCTCTCCCTCAGAGAGGGGGAAAATGATACGAAAAGAAGCTGGACATGTAGGGAGAAGTGAGATTGTGCAGGGTTTTTTGCAGGTCATGGCAAGCAACATTAATAATGTTCTTTGAAGATGGGGCTTTTAGTAGCAGAAATAATATGACATATGAGCCAGAAGACTTAGGTCAAAGTTGAGATTTAATCACATACAAGCCATGTGATCACAGGAAAGATACATCACCACTCTGCCTCAGTTTCTACATTTGTAAAATGTCTATTTACCGCAAAAGATTGTTAGAAGGATCAAAGTGGACACTACACACGAACATACTTTATAATTTGAGGTGTTATAAAAAGGAATATGGCATTGTCCATAACAGCCACAGAAGGTAATTACCTGGCAGAGCAGTGTGCTGGTGAGCATCTTCGGTGAGAAGCATCCGCAAGAACATCCAGGGAGTAGAGAGGAGAGAGGGGATTAAACTGCAGGAATAAATAAGATTATTTCAGTACAGCTTGTATGAAACAGACTTAATCCTTAAGGGTAATCTACTATTTTACCTTTCCCCTTTGGCTGCCCAATTCTTTTGCCATACAAAACATAGACACCATTCAATAAAGCTGCACGTATTTAACAGTGTGCCCATGAATGTGCCACACCTGACCTAGCATACCTCACAAAGACAGTTCCTTATTAAACAACAATTTTTCAAAAACTTCAGAGACACAATAATCACTTAAAGGGCAAAAGACAGTACTTTCCAAGTGACACAACAGGAACTTACACCTACTGATTATCAACTGTGGATCAGTCCTTGTTCCCAAGAAGATTAGCATGAAATTACCTTTTCATTTCCTTATCCTGGCAAACGTTTCCAAGAACAATGGGTTAAGCACATACCAGCAGCACAGTACAGTGGAAAGAAAACTAGACTAAGAATTAGAATATCTTAACTTTTAGTCCCAATCTACCACTGAGTTGCTGTGTGTTAAAAATTTCATAATCTCTGAGCTTTACTATCCTCATCTGTAAAATGGATATATCACTATGTGCATTACCTATTTTACAGGGTTATTGTGAGGGCTAAATGAAATATTGCTTTCAGGTTATAAATTAATTTCAGTTTCTCATCTATAAAACATCTATGAACTTCAAAGGTGGTTGTGAAGATCAAATGAAATACTATATTTTATTAGCACCTTACTTCATGTTTGCTAGCTTTCTTTGGACTTTTTCCACAATAAATAGTCCTCTCTCAAAAATTTAGAATGTAATACATTCGGATATACGAAGACTGGAAGACAAAGACTGGAAGAACTTTGAATGGTAACTTCAGAAGTAGTTAAAAAGAACAAAAATTAAGCAACTACCTATAAAGGTTCCAGTCTCAGTTCTATCTACCAGCTGCAGGATTTTGGGTAAACAGTATGAATCTTATGGACTTCTAGTTCATCATCTGTAAATAACAGATCTGGACCAGGTGATCACCTGTGATGCAAACATGATTAGTATCCTAGCTTAGAATTCCCCAAACTGCAGTCTCTTACATATCACCTTCATGACTTTTTCCTTATCTTCCTTTCCTTTCCTTATCTTTCCTTATCATCTGCACTACTGTTTACTTAGTATTTTTCTTTATATCAATTACTTTTACTCAGCCTTGTCCTTACTATGTTGCCATGAAATAACAAGTTTTATATAATGGTTACATTTTCTAATACACATTATAATGCACAACTTAAAGATTATGTGTCTACATGCCACCTAAAATCATCTCATACATGTATATACAAGTTATGTCTTTCACTGCTGTAGTTCATTTTGAAATGACAAATTTACAATGAAGGTTTCAAGTCTAAAATGTGTATCAACTCAATAAGCTAACAAGTAGTCAAAAAATAAAACAAAACACTGAGCAACAGGAAGCCTGAGAATTTTTACCTATAATCTTCATCTACTTTACAACTAATAACCAAAATAAAGCAATTCTCAAAAAAAAAAAAAAATCAAAAAGCTTCAAACGTAAAGGAACATATCAATAGCCACTGTATTTTTAAATTGTGACCACTACGCAAAGGCCTAAATATGCCAAGGGTCCCCTCAGGGGGTAACCGAGAAAAGACTAAGAGGGCAAGGCTCAGAGGCCTTGACCCCATGTCACCGAAAGCAGCTCTATCTTCCTCTGCTCCGTATGTTTAGGCTTCAATGTAGTACTTCTCAGCACAGAATTCTCATGGTGAACTAAACCATAGGCAGATGAGATTCATTCTGCTTTCTTACAGCAAAGTTCAAAACTAAAATGAAAACATAATTCTATAAATATGTGTTGCAAGAAATTGATGATCACAGGAGAACCTAAAAAAAGAATGAGTATCAAATATTCTTGGAAAACAGTTCTTCAAGGAAATCAGAATAACACAGGGAAGAGGGAACCTTACCTCATGTGCACAAGCAGAAATGTGAGGAAAATCAGAAGCCAACGCTTTATTCTTTCTAAAGAAAAGGAAATCAAATGATAAAATAAAGATGACAAAGAAAAGCGATCTTACCTGATTCCGTTCTCTTTTCCCAGCTGATGGTAACCAGAAACTAAAGAGAGGGAGAGAACAGGAAAGAAATAAAAGAAGTGACAGGAGAATTACAGATGGAAGGAAAAGATAAAAAGATGTTGGAATAATGAAGTAAAGACAAAGAAGGAAATGGGAAAAAGATGTGATGGGAAAAGAAATGGAGAAAGATATTAAATGTGAACTATTTTGCTGAAAAATAACTCTTCAAAGGAAAAAGCCTCATAATGGAATGTAAAAGATTGGACAGGCTGGAAATGGCTGGAAATAAACCCAAATAAACCAGTGTGACACCGATGCACTTTCAGCTGTACAGTGACAACAGGACCCCCGACTCAATGAGGGCAATAAACCACATGCACATCTCTCCTATTTTGTAAATTGGAAATTAGACCAGGCTGAATGCGTATAGGATGGCCAGTGGGTACTGACCATGACGTGTACAGGATACATGAAAGACCAACCATGTTAGGGGACAAGGCTGCCACAAAATAGGGCAGAATGATTCTCCTGTAGCTATATACAGGCTTTCCATTGCATTTAGCATGGTAATTAGGACAAAAAGATACTTTTCTATGAAGAGGTCTAAAAATTACAAGAGAATATAGGAGAATAGATGCAACCACCCATTTTGAACAAAAACAAGAGACAAAAAAAAATGAAATTAAAATATAACATTCTTATTGGAAGCTACTAATATAGCACCTATAGATACAAAAAGCGAAAAAATAAAACGAGTCTAGAAAGGCAAAGAAAATCACTGTCATGGGCTCAGGATGTTAGCCATGTTAATTGCTACAGAGCACAGATCTTTAAGATCTCTTTTTTCTGCTCTGAAGCCTGATTTCCAGGTTGCTTCATAAAACTCCCCTCTGCCTCCTTCTCCAAGGAACAAGCTAGGACAGCCAGTAAATATATAAGCACTTACTCTTTCTGCCGAGGGTCGCTAATGATATGGCTTATCCTCTCAGTACCTAAAGTACTTATGCTGGTCTCCTAAAAATACAAGGAAGACAAGAGTATCAGCCAAGCACAGAAACAAGTACATAAAGTATATTCTGTCGTCAAGCTCTCACTTCCCCATAACGTGCCAGCCAAGGCAACCTCAAAGGCACATGTCAAATGTGAATCTTAAAATCCAATAGCAATTGCATTTCTTTGTACAGGAATCTATCTTAAAAGTATTTCATGTTATCCTACACTTATTTTTCTCTAGTGATGTAAAAAATTATAAACATTGTTTGCTCTATATGGTATTTTAACATAATGAGTAATACCTCCTGGAGTTATTGAAGTATAAAGGAGTAAAAATGTTGTCAAAAGACTTCTGTGACTTCAAAAATTGTCACTCTGTATTTTGTCCCTTAAATGTCATTTCTTGAAGTAAAAATAGAAGTTTGTATATACTGATTCTTAAATTTACAGTTCTTTAGATTGTAACGTGAAAGCTTACCTATAGCACCACAAGCAATTCAGAAACTAACCATTTCCAAAAAATTGGACAACAGAGAAGGCACTCATCCTTCACTTAGCACGAGTATATTTACAACGCATATCTATCACAGTACCTGGAAGGCACACCAACATGTATACGGCTAAGAGCTACAGAGTGTTAAAATGAGAGAACACAAGTCATGGGTATGAAAGTCAAGAATGTAAGGCTGCTCCTCAAACACATTTGTGTCTAGACAAATGGTGTTACCTGTATTCGCCTATGTGCATGGATTAGCCTAAACATTAGGCTACTTGTTTTAGCAGACCTGGCTATAGGAAAATTAATTTGAGGTCAGATTCTGGGCGGGAGTGGAGCTAAATGAAAAGGTTTCACATACTGCGTTCTTCATATTCTGCCTCCCTTACAGCTACGGCTCCTGGTCACAGATACAGACATGGCAGGGGGGCCAAGGGAAAAGATGGGTGAAAAATGAGCTATTTGTTACAGCAGAAAAATTATTAACTTAAAGTGCCGTAATGTTTAAATTTACAGTTTATTACTGCGTAAATTACAAGCAGTACTTTGCGTAATTAGCAGCTCGCTGGCAGGGAGCTGTGAATGAAACTCATTATTTATGATTACAATTTAGAAAAAGAGAAGAGAGATGGGGGAGGGGGAAGCTGGGGGGCAGAGCAGTGACCTCTGCTAGAAATGATAAATATCCCTTTAAGGTGATGAAGATGAATTAAACAAGTAAATATTATCCTATTCATTTGAAATCATTAGCTGCACGTCCAATAGGCCCTAGTTCCCTTCCAGGCAAGCTAAAGGGAGCCTTCAAGATGAACTGACTTACAAGGAGTACTTCTTATTTTCTGAGAACTGAAAGAATGTAAGGTAGGTGGCAGGCAGAACATTATCTGTCAAGCCTAACCAATAAAGAGAAAAAAAGAAAACCATCTCTCTGTTCCCCATTCCCAACCTCCTGCCTCCCTCTGCCCTTGTACTCCTATCCTGCTAGTTTTTCTGTTAAGAACAGGCTCCCAGCACAGCAAAAGCAGGCATTCTATTGTCTGTAAAATGAGTGATTTAAAAGGAACAAGGTATTAGTCTTTCAATAATCAAATGTTTTTCTAATTAAAGATCTGAATTTGAATTTAAAAAGAACAAAGAACCTGAGTTCATCTGGAAATAAACAGCCTCTTTTCTTTTGCATGCCTAAAACTTCAGAAAACAGTTCCCTGATTAGACTACAAAATAGCAGCTCCTTAAGGGTAGCCAGACCATGGCTCTGATCATATATACCTGGCTTGGCATAGAGCCTGCCACATAGTAGGCATTCTAAATGCTTATTGAGTTAATGCTCTCAGTGTCTCTCCCTTCCTTACTCTTCACTCACCACCATCTTCTCTGATCGGGTATGAGCCCCTGTATTACCCTATTTCTCAATCTTAGAGTAAAAAATAAAACAAAATAATAAAATACATAAAAATCTAAAAAGATAAAAGTAGACCTGGGTTCAAATCTGTGTTCTGCCACTCCTATCTGGGTAACATCAGACATTACTTAACTTCTTTGAACTTAAGTTTTCCTCTTCTGCTGAAGGGGAATGTAAGTTCTTTAAAGGTTGCTGGAAGGATTAAATGAGCTGAGTGCCTAGCACAGTCCCCGGCAAAGGCAGAACTGAATAAACAGTAGGCGGTGGACAGTCCTCCCTCATGGCCAGAGAGGGGATGCTGAAATTCAATTAACAGATTTTTTTTCCCCAGTTTTGGGTTTCTTTTTTTTTAATGAATTTTAGGATGAAAGACCAAAGTTAGGATAGAACAAAGATGCATTCATGAATTCAGGAGGAATCATAAAGAAGCCAAGAATATTTTAACTTATACAATAATAATAATATAGAATTAATCAAAAGTTGCAGAAGAGACAGAGATCAGAGTGTTCTTACTGAAATCTGTTCTTTTCCAAGAACTGTTATGACACTGTTATGACAGTGTTTGCTTTGTCAGAACTTCTGAATGAATTAAGTTTCATTTTTTATGTGTGCATCCACTCATATCCTACATAATGTTCACTCTTGTCAATTCCCAAAACATCCCAGTTGGCTTCATTAACTCCAGGGAGTTCTATAGCACCTCTGATTGTTAATAGCATACACAAATTCCACAGGGATATTATCTTCCTGCTGAGCCTAGTAAACCATGAGAGCTATCACCTTCCCAACCAGCCTTCTTCGCCCCTTTCTGAGGCATCGAGCTGCTGCTCCAGGCAGACGATTCAAGCGAGCATGGTACCCTAAAAAAAATAAAAGCCTCAGTCACTGAACACAGAAAATCCATAAGCAACCCTATGTTTCTAGTACACTGAAGGCCTTACTGCCAGGATCTTACTACCTTTAAACTAGTATCACAAGGCTATTTGTCAAGGATTTATTATTCCCACGTCTTTGTCACTAACAGCATGATCTTAGGCATGCCATTTACCTTTGACCTAGGCATTCTCATCTATAAAAGGGGAATAATCACTCACTCAGTCCTACCTTACAGGGCTGTTTTGAAGACACAATGAAATACACGTGGAAGGAACTTCATACACTGAAAACACCACATAAATGTAAGGTAGTATTAACAATTTCTAATTTTAAATTAAATGCTAGTTTATCTCACAAACATTCTAATCCATGACATAATGGGAAAAATAGCATGCGTAATAGTAATATAACCCCATTTTTCTAACTGCTGTGTATGTTCTATACATAGAAAGAACAAATGGAAGAATCCACACCAAAATATTATTAATGATATCATTTCTGGATGTGGGATTATAGGTCATTTTAAGTTTCCTCTTGCTATTCCTGCTTATTTGTGTATATTTTAAGGGGTCCATAAAGAACTTTTAGAAATATTCACTGAAACGGTCAATGAAACAATGTGCCTCCGCCAGGCAGTAGTCTTTATCGAGAACCAACTGCTTTGAGAAGGCCTTTCAACCACTCAAATTCATCGTAACAAAAACCTACATAAAAGTTTCAGCTCTTAGTGTAATTCTGATCACCAAGAGATGCTCAACAAATACTTAATAACTGATTAATTGGTTGATTATTAGTTACTGGGAATCCTAGAATCATAAATTTATAGAGCTAAAAGAAACCTCTGAAGCAATTTTGTTCAATGTTATATATCTTAAGTGATGACCCTGACATCCCAAGGAAATGAAGTGACTTCATCACAGCCACAAAGCTAGGTAGTCAGTACCAGAGAGTAATAGCACCCTATTTCCTTCTCCCTGTCTGAGGCTCTTTCTACCCACTTTGCTACATCATAATTGAAGGAAAAGCAAAGGGAAAGGACAAATATTTGTCTGCAGTAACAGGGTCATTAAAATAAAATCATTTAGGCCAGTGTGGTGGCTCACGCCTGTAATCCTAGCACTCTGGGAGGCCAAGGCGGGAGGATTTCTTGAGCTCAGGAGTTCGAGACCAGCCTGAGCAAGAGCGAGACCCCGTCTCTATCAAAAACAGAAAAAATTAGCCAGGCATGGTGGCATGCACCTATCATCCCAGCTACTCGGGAGGCTGAGGCAGGAGGATCACTTGAACCCAGGAGTTTGAGGTTGCAGTGAACTATGATGACGCCACTGCACTCTACCTGGGGCGATGGAGTAAGATTCTCTCTCCCCCCCGCCCCCACAAATAAATAAATAAATAAAAATTATTTAAAGAAATTATTTTTAAATCATCCATTTTTAAAATGCTGTTATACCTTGTATGTGAGTGTTCTTACTGAAATCTGTTCTTTTCCAAGATCCAATACTTCAGGCTTCTGTTGAGCACTCAATAATTTACCAGTTTCACATCAGGATAAACAGCTGTGGCATGATGATAGGCTTCCTAAGTCTGGCACAAATGGCAATGGCAAGCTGAAGGAATGCCCTGCTAATATATGTCCTCAGAGTCTCCATGGACTGATTTAGTTAGGAACGGAGAGAACCTCAAGCCTTAAGACACATCCTTTAATCTTCTAGAAAATCCCTGAACTAGCTCCAAAATTCAGATTTTTTTTTTTTTTTTTTTTTTTTGAGACAGAGTCTCACTCTGTTGCCCGGGCTGCCGTGGCGTCAGCCTAGCTCACAGCAACCTCAAACTCCTGGGCTCAAGCGATCCTCCTGCTTCAGACTCCCAGGTAGCTGGGACTACAGGCATGCACCATCATGCCCGGCTAATTTTTTCTATATTTAGCTGTTTGCCAATTTCTTTCTATTTTTAGTAGAGACGGGGTCTCGCTCTTGCTCAGGCTGGTCTCGAACTCCTGAGCTCAAGAAATCCTCCCGCCTTGGCCTCCCAGAGTGCTAGGATTACAGGCGTGAGCCACCGCGCCCGGCCAAAATTCAGATAATTAATACATCCTTAGAGGCATGAATATGTTTGCTATGGGATGATTCTTCTACCCTTAGAGAACCATAAAAGCATGAAGTTCTTGGTCTTCTCAGAACTCACCTCTTTGAGCTGGCCGAGACGGTAAAAGGAATGTGGAATCTGAGAGTTTATCCAGTCCAGAATCCATTCTTTCTACCTCAGAGCAATGATCAGGAGCCCACTTGGGCAGAAGATTAGGGACAGTGAATCCTGGGACACATTCTCCTTCATAGAACCAGTCACTCTGCTCATCATCTCCTAAAGTAAAGAGATCATATCATAAGCTAGAATTTTAACATGCCTAAGAAAAGTCAAATGGGAGGATGACTCCTAGTGCTATAGTTTCCATTATACAAAGTACAAAAGCACAAAAAAATTGTTCTGGTCCTCTTTCTTAATCCATATTATGATGAAAATTGGGCTAGCAACCTAGTTTTACATATATGTCATACTGTGTTAGACTGAACTGCTTTAATAATAAAAACTAATAAAGCTACCACTTACTAAGCCCTTATAACCTACCAGGATCCATGCTAAAAATCTCTAAATGTTATCTCTTCCAATCCCTATACTAACTCCAACTTACAAATGAGGCAACTAAAGCCCAGAGAAGTCAAGTTCAATTTAGTAAATGATGAAGCTGGGATTTGAACCCAAAGCCTGACTCCAAGCCTGAGATCTTTACTACAAAAATAAACTTTCTCCCCTACGCCATCCTCAGTGGTACAAATAAACTTGGGGGTTCAAACCCCATAAATGTTTTCCAATTCAAAACTAGCTGTCCTGAGTGATTTTTTGCTATTAATATATCTGCATTTCTCATAATAAGTGAATAAAGAATGTATGCCCATACTTCATTTTTTTCCTTGGTATCTCATTAATGGGACAGAAAATCATCTTGATGCTGGCAATCCAAGCTACCAGGAAAGAACTAACCACAGAATAATTTAATTCTCTAAGACTTTTCAAGAAGTTACACCATTTGCTCAAGGCCATATTGTTCATTAATGGCAATGTTACAACTAGACCCACATATTCAGATTCTTAGTTCAAACTTCTATTGGCTACAATGATAGCATCTTAGTTTCCACTAGAGTTTATCCCTGCCAACAAAGAATAAGATAGATAAATTCATGTCTGCCATCCCATCACCCTTTCAAAATAGCAAAGATAAAGGAAATTATTACAAGAACATCTAAAGAGTTCATAAGGCATTCATACTTAATGTACACTGGATCCCAGCAAAGCTGCTCAGAGCATGCCCATCACATATGAAGTATCAGATTCATGGGCCACTAACACCCAGAATTATAACTCTTAAATCACTGTGGAAATCTCCAAGAGGAGCAATGAAACCTGCATTCTGGTGAATAGCAGCAGATATTACCACTAAAGAAATTACTCAAAGTGTTCCCTTATAAAAACACATCACGAACAGATGTCTTTCTAAAACAGTGGTTCTCAACCTTTAGCATGCATCCAAAGCACCAGGAGGGCTTGTTAAAACAGACTGCTAAGCCCTACTCCCAAAGTTTCTGATTCTAGTCTGGATAAGACCAAAAATTTGTATTTCTAACAAGTTCCCTAGCAATGCTAAGCTGGTCTGGGGACCACATTTTGAGAACCACTACTCTAAAAGCATCTCACCAAACCAGGTACACAGATGAATTAGAGACAGGCATCAATGTACAATGACTACTTTCTCTGCACTTTCAATATGTTAATTCTTTTCTTATCCATAAGCATTCCTTGGGCCATTTATAAAAATAGTATATTAAGTTGGATCATGTTTTCTGATGACAAATGACAGAATATAATGGAAATCTTTTGGTTCTCAAGCATTCACTCAAGATTTTTAATAATACAAAAAGGGACTCACTGAACTGGAAGAAACCTTGTGAGATCATCTAGACCAGTAGTCTTCAACCTGGGTTCACCAGGATGCCTGATGCAGGAGCTCCTTAAAAGAGTGCTGCCAGAGAATAAGGAAGAGGCTGAATTCATCAGGCTCTTGGCCTCCAGCTCCTCTAGAATCTTGCTTTAACCAAAATAGGCTTAGTTGTTTTATAATTTGAGATTCTATGTATGATTTTGTTTGGGAGAGTTTTTCCCCTTAACTGGGTTTCTCAATAACTATTTATTAAGAGTTCACTATATGCCAACAATGCGTTAGGTACTGTGGCTGCAAATAATAAAATAATTCTTGCCTTTGAAAAGCTTCAATGAAAAAGACACACACCTACAAATGATAACATAACAGGGTAAGTGGTAAAAAGCAGTAAGTGCAAGGAGTCCTAAAGCACAAAGAAAGAGGAAGGGCTGCCAGTCAGAATATGTTTCGAAAAGACACGGCACATTTAAAGGAGATCATTGAGGAGACATTAATGAAGTGACTATTTACAAAGGTGTAGAAAGTACTAACAAGGAAATCAATAAGGAATGGTGAAGTACCCTGGAGCCAGCACAGCAGGAGGTCTTTACCAACCCTAGACCTGGATTGGTCCAAGGTTGGAAAAAGATTGACAAGGAAAAGAATGTTATCAGAGCCCAGAGAAAGAAGAGTGGTTATAGAAGGCTGCCAAACAGGAGTAGTGGCCTTCTGCAGAGGAACACAACCACTGCCAACCAGCAATCCAACAGAAAGGGAGCTAGGGGAAGCTATAATCATTTCCAAGTCCTCACTACCACTCTATAATAAAATGATTCATCCACATCCTTTGCCCTGTGTCACTGGATTCCACAGCGCCTTCCCCTTTAGGTGGAGCACACTTCTCCATCCTATTGACACTGGGGTTGGTCATACAACTTGCTTTAGGTAGTGGACCATTAGCAGATATAATTCAAACAAAGGTTTTAAATATGCACACATGATCTGGCTTGGTCACTTGGAATTTATGTCCTTTGCCATGAGAAGTCTATGCTGCATATAGCCACTGTTCCCTTAGCCTAGGTCCCAAAATAAGGTACACTATGAGGAGATATAAACCTAACTTGAAGTCTAGAGACCAGCTGAGTCCAGGCACGATCAGATGAACCATAGGCAACCCACAGGCCCATGGCAAGAAATAAATGTGGTAAACCACTGAAATTTGGGGGATGTTAAACAGCATTATCACAATAAAAACCTGATGAATATATCCAATCTCACTCACCTCTCTCCCTCTAATCATCTACTGATGGTTCCTATTGGCCAACCCCAATAAGAAACTGAGGGCAAGAAAATCTACTGATATAGTCCATAAATATGGCCTGGAAGGGCAAAAGGAGAACTGTGTCTTGGGGGATGACCAGCCATTCAAGGAAAAGGGAGGAGGAGATTTCAGGCAGAGAGTCCAGCATGAACAAAGGAATGAAGCAGGAAATAATACAGCTTTGTGTTGAGAACTCTATGCCTCTAAATGTCACCATAATGTGTTAAGTTGAGACAGAGAAAGAAAGGAGAGCTGGGGCTACAGAATATTCTATAAGCTTTCATGATAAACCAAGGAATCCTTATTCGTGAAAAAGCTTTCCAAAGACCCCAAAATTTAATCTGTTGTAATAGGTCCACACTTTTTCACACCTTTGTATGATTATGCATTGTAACCTAAATTTAAGAGGTGCATTCTGATACTTCCTAGCACTGTAGTAAAAACAAAGAAAAAGAGCAAATATTACTAACTCTGAACAGTATATACCAGCTCATTCATGGAAAGACAACCAGACTTTCCTGGTATGAGATAATGAAATCAAGACCCTAGCTAGAGCCTACCAGTACATACACACAAAGTCTCTAATGACACTTAATTCCCATAGAGTCTTAAAGACGGCAATGTACTCAGAACAACCCCCATTATAATAGGAAGCTCAATAATTCTATGGGGATAAAACTGCCTTCATGCCTGCAACTCTGAGGCATGGCCAAGATACCTGCCCCACAGTCCCTCTCCAAAATCAGGACTTGGATGCTGAGTCTCACGGTCCCAGGATACCTTCAGTTACTGGGGAGCCGACCGGGATCAGACATGTAGCCACTGTGCCTCTGTCCTTTAGTCACTTAACCGTGGATAAAAACTATTGGATTTTAGATCTAGAAAAATTATTGGATTTTAGAGATCTACAAATGTCTTATTTAGATTAAGAAATCTACAGTCCAAAAAAGTTACATGAAATTTCTTATTAATGTACAAGTAGTGTGGCCCTATACAAGTCTCGAGGACAAGAATTTTGTAAAATGCCCTTATACCAAAGCAAAGTTTTAAATTAGTGTTTAGGTAGTGAAAATAAAGAGCTGGTAATTAACACACACCAACCTCATTCACACAGTTCTATATTAAACTTCAGGAGTTTTAATTTGAGAAAGACGATGTTTTATACAATATATTTGCCTAGAACACTAAAATCACTTATAAATAAGGTTAAAAAAATAACTAAATTCTAAATGGGAAAATAAGAATGTCTTAACACCCAAAAAAGAGAGTATAACACATGAGGATATTTCTTGGTTCTAATAAAAAGGGACTTCCCAAAGTCCCAGGATCAATACTCTAACCCCCTGGACCAGTAATTCTCAATGTCTGAAATACCTGCATAAGAATCACTTCAGGTGCTTGTGAAAAATGCAGATTCCAGGGTCCAACTCCAGACCTATTTGATTTCTAGGAGCTCAGGGATTTGCAGTTTTAACAGTTCCCCAGGTGGCTCTTATATGCCCTAAAGTTTGAGAACCACAGCCACAGGCAACCATCATATTCTCAATGAGCCACGCCTATAATCATTAGCATCCTCCCATAAACAATGAACCAATATCCCAAAGCTGGGATCAAGATTACCTTGTCGTCCTTCATCATTGGTAAAGAGCCCAGCGTCACTGCTGCTACACACACTGCTGGTTTCACTGAAAAAAGAGGAAAACACAAGAGAACTCATCAGCTCCCGTCAAAAACAAAGAACTGTACATTCTTATTTTGGTTTTCAAATGGAAAGATGCCAAGCTTCCCTAATTTTACTCCAGCTATTAACCAATCAGATATGTAAATTTCATAGGGGAGCTATAACATTTATTTTCCCCCAAAATAATAGAAATATAAGAGGAGAATTCTAAAATTTTTACTTACATTTCAAAGTACTCTTAAAACATCTACAGTCACTTTGTTCAGGATCAAAAAGGTATTTATTAAGGCTCATCAAAGTAATTTCAACCTGGTTTGGAATATTAAGCAACACAAATTTGCCAACAAATTTTTTTTGGAGGGGGGAAGTACATAACTTTTATCATTCATATACATTGGGGTTCACAAAAAACAGTTTGGTTAGAATTAAAGTTAGCCTCAGGGCTTATTTATCCTCTGAATACAGGGAAAAAATAGTTTTAATGTTAAACAATGTTTATGGGAGGCCATTGTTTGAAATGAACCAGAATGGATTTTCTGGAGCTAGGTGCCATGTAATCTTTTAGAGATGGGGTTTCTATGTTGCCCACGCTGGAGTCCAGTGGATATTCATAGCTCACTGCAGCCTGAACTCAAGGAATCCTCCCACCTCAGCCTCCTGAGTAGCTAAGACTACAGGTGTACCGCCACACCTCATATAATCTATCTTTAAAATGGGTCACTTTCTAAAAAACAGGAGATTCACTACAACCAATCAGAAGGGGTACCTGAGCTACCGTAAGTCCCTTCTGTGTTATCACTGTAAGGAAAGTGACTTTAATTCTAGAAAAAGCCCAATTAAATGGTTATACTAATTTTTGTTAATCGTATGAGTCTACTTAGACATACTCATCTTGGTGGTAGCTGTATTCGATAAGAACAGTAGCTCTTCTCTCCCTGGTTTAAGGGAGGCAACATTTCTCAAAATTCAACCCATGCCTTACCTTAGGCAGATAAAGCCTAAAAGGTAGAACTCTTCCTACATCTGTTGAGTCTCAATTGCCTTTAACTCAAAATAATCCTAATACCAATGTAGCATAATTCTGGGGTGGCATATTCTGATCCCTTTCAGAGCAAGTTCAGATGGGAAACAGAAACAATGAACCATAAATAGCCAACAATTTTACTAATATCACGCAAGTTTGATGATTTATAATACCCTCTGGAAACTGCCAACATCAGCATCAACATCAAGGTTGCTTTCCTCAAACAGTGCCAATTTTATTTTTAAATATTGCTAACTATCAGTTTCAAATGAAGCTATCCAACTTTAAGACATGTAGCATCTGTCAAGTTTTTCCCCTATTTACAAAGCAGCAAAAATCCATGAATAAGAAAAAAAAAATAACCAATATGGCAAAAGGTACATTTTCTAAATTTGTCTTCCTTCATATCAAGCAAATACACCAAATTTATTTTGAAAAAAGGAACTAAAGTTAAAAATAAAAATATAAAAACAAACTCCATTTAACCTCATTGAAATAAAATTTTGTCCCATGGAATTCTGTCCAATCAGCTTCATTTTCTGAGCTATTGCTCACAATTGATTCTGCTTCTTCTGATGCTGCTTTTCTTCCAAATTTGATTTACCTGGCTTAAGAAAAACTTCTCGATCCTTTATAATATTAGCTATTTCCTTGATTAGGAGTATTTCCTTCTGAGGTAGTCGATTTCTTTTTTCACCTGCTCTAGAAGATGAAACAAACTAAAGCAAGAAAGAAGCATTTTCACCACGCTACTGAAGAAATATGCTTGGCAAAATCCCAATCTACATTCCTGGATCAAAACTCTGAAAATATTTTGTATCTTGCAACATTTCCAAATATGTTGCCAACACTAAATCCTAAAAATGTTGGTTAAATTAAGTAGCAATGTCTTCCTCACTTAAGCTTGTCTCTGAATAACAGATGCAAGAGATCTGTTTCAGAAAGAGCCAATAAAATATAACCTATTTCTTTATAGGTTCTTTCATTCTATTTTTTATGTACTTGTAAGTGAAAACTTTCTCAGGGATCATTGTAAGAAATGTCTCACAAAACTATACTGCTGGATTCTGATAGATTTAGAATCTTGGAAGAGCTCTGCAGTTAAATCCAGAAAACATCCTCACTGAGTACTTCATTCTTCCTGAGTTTAAGGAACTGTGCCTGCTAAACTTAACAGTGTTGTTTTTCTATTTTTAGCGATTTCTGAAGAACATTAGTGGTCTGACCCCACTGAGGCCTGCTACACAGTCTCTCATATTACTACTTTATTCTTCTCATCTAGCCTCAAGGATAAAGCAAATTTTATATTTTTAAACTTTTCTTGATATGAGAGGGAGCTACAAAGCACAGTAGGCCATGGAACAGATTCTATTCCACCGTCATGTTATATGCTTTATTGATTAACAGAATCACTACTGAAATTTAGGGGTCAGCAAGCAATGGCCCATCGCCTATTTTTGTACGACCCAGGAACTAGAAATAGCTTTCACAGTTTCAAATCATTGGGGAAACAGATAAAAAGGCAAATATTATGTGACACATGGAAATATGACATTTAAATTTCAGAAACATTTCATTGGAACACTGCCACAATAATTCATTTACCTATCTTCTATGGCTCCTTCTGCACTACCACTGCAAAGTTGAGTAGTTCCAATAGAGAACGTATAGCATACAAAGCCCTAAATGTCTACTACTTGGCTCTTTACAGAGAAAGTTTGTTGATTCCTACTCTACGGGTATTACAAGGTCTACTCTGCAATGTCTATGATTCCCTCTCTTTGAATATTTCCAATTAAAATATAAAACATTTGCTTTATCACAAAGGATATCAATTCTTTTCCAGCCACCTGTAAGCGCTATAAGATACAGTGCTTCCTTGATCCTTTGTTGTATCATTCTCTCCTCAAATTCTAAATAAAAGGAGCAAGCTGAAAAAATATGCACTGGATCAAGAAACATGTTGGCATCCTGGTACTGTACATTTTCTACTCTTGCCAATAGCATTTCAGGAGAATCAATGTTCTTGAAAAGGCTTGGATGAAACTTGTCTAAAAGAGTTTCCCATATATAATTAATGGGAGTAATGGTAATGATGTCATAGAAATATCACCAGGATTTTAAGACTATGATAAAGGGAGATATATGTTTTCTTCATAAAAAAAAAATTACGTCTAGCGAATACTTATTACATAAAAGTGTCATCATTCCACCCATACCTGGAAAGGAATGTATCTGATAGCATTTGTGTATTCTATTCATGCTCTCAGAACAACTTGCATTATGAAAATGTAATCATATGTAAAAAATTGTTAGCAACGTTTTCTGAGGATGTGAAAACTGGGAGCATCACAGCATGGTTGCACATAACTACTACAATACAGCTTGCAAAAATGTAGTGCTAGCTATAAAGTAGAAGCAAGTTATTTCCCCTTCCAAGTTACAGGCCAAACTTCTAGTCCCACAGCCCTCACTCACTTCTGGCTCAGAGATCATGTAAAATTAAAAAATCAGATAAGTAGGATTTTAATAATGATTTAATCAACTATAAAATGCTAATTTGGCTAATTCAATTTAATATTCTGTTAAAAATAGACTTCTATCTTTCAATAAAGACAATTTCTGTTTAGCACCTTTGTAGAGCCAAACAAGTCTGAAAATTAAAAGATATCAGGCTCCTACATATTTTTTTCTATTCTAAAACCTTCAGATTTGTTTATAACTTTTTCGCTATGAGCCTTTTTACTAGGCAATGGGGGGGAAAGCTTTGCTCCTCATCTTTGTAAGAAAAAATTATGATCCTACTTCTATAGTGTCCTCTCCACTTGCGCTCCTCTGAAGCTTAGTCAGGAAGACAGAAACCCAGCCTTTATCAGTCTTCAGACAAAAGTAACAAGACAAAGCCCAGAAAGACAGAGGTGCCGAAATCTCCTAAAATGGCAGCAACTCCTAGAAACATCAATGCCTCCTGTCTTTGCCTCAGGAGTTGTTCTATACTCCCTGTTCTCATATGATTTATGAGATTCTAACTATAAATAGTTTACATACAAAAATCTTACTAGGATATTTCTAAAATATTTTGGAAGAGTAGAAATATATTAACCTTACAAATAACTTATACATCATTCAAAAAAAATCCAATCCCAAATTGGGAGAATAAAAAGTCTCTAACAGAAAAATGAAGCAGAAGCATTTCTTCCCTCTATTTCTCCTAAACCTTCATTCATTCATTTAGTGAGCATTTATTAAGTATTAATCATATACTAGACACTGTGCTATAACTAGCACTAAAACTAACAAACATGTCAATCACAACTTAAATGCAAGCATTTTATAAGGAACTATTAGTCTAGACTTTAGGAAAAGTGTGTGAAGAGGTAGGGAGAAGAACATTTTTCAATGAAGAACTTTCTGCAATTAATAAGGGGCGGTGCAAGCCTAGAATTTAACCTTATGACACTGAGGAAATCACCCCATTTTAGAAGCCAGAAAACATCTTGAAAACATTCACAGGAGAGTAAAAATAGTAACAATACATCACACTTCTCTACCTTGCCTTTTGCTAAAAAAAGGCCCCACACTTTATTTAGCAGCAAAACTACCACTTTAAATAAGACATAAACAAAATTAAAGGCTGGATTTTGGACCACTAATTGTATTACCTAATTATTATAACATTATTAGAAAAGTAACTCAGCCACATTCAACTGAAACAACAGAAGTGTAAAGAAAGTCAACTTAACCAGTGGTTTCAAAGACTTTTCCTAATATTTATTATACTTTCAAACACACAAAAAAGCTGAAAGAAGTTACAGTTAGCACCCACACCCATCACTTAGATTTTGCAAGTAACATTTTGCTTTCTTTGTTTTATCACACATCTATCCATCTAACCTTCCTACCAGGGTGTCTATGTAATCAAAGGCTCTCAGTAGACCAGATGATTGGAAATGGCATCCACTTTCAGGTAAGTATATTGT